TTAAATTTAAATAAATAAACAATTCGTTTTTAATTAAATTTATTGATGCTCTATTTCTCTCTTCTCGCCACTTTAGATTCATTATAGAAAACACTCTTTCAGTGAAAGCTGAAGTGGCAGGAATGGAGAGTAGGTAAGAAATATTTTTTTTTATATTTGGTAAGCTATCAGATGCATTTTTAAGTACATATTGCCATTTTTCTACTGTACTTTTCACTGAAAATTCTTTATCATCATTAATGAATTTTCTTTGGATTTCTTTAAGTCTTATAGATTCGGAATACACATCGTCCATCATAATATTTAATCTGTTTTGCAATTTTGCCTTTGTAATAACCATTTCAAAATGTTCAAATTTTACCTAATTTTTCAAAGACATGTTAGGAAGTATGGCTTTCAGCCAGTTATCTTCGCTAAAATCAAACCATTTTACCATATAATTTAAGCTCATATCAATAAAAAGTGAAAAGTTACTGATAACTGTATTGAATGTTTCGGGTGATGACTTTTGAATTTTTTGTAATCTCATTTTTGATTCATAACCAAAGTACTTATCAGTTTTTCTTTGCTCTAATTCGTTTCTTAAATTATCCATGATATTATAGACATCTAGTATAGTTACATCATTTCCTTCCAGACGTTTTATCGTTTTATTAAATAAATTAAGCATGTGGCTTGTAAAGTGTAGATAAATTTCCACAACTTCCCTATCCTGTTGATCACTTAGTTTTAATAATTCTTGTATAATTATTGCACAATTATCATCTAAATTTATAAAATAATTACATATTGGTGCCCAATTCAGTAAAAGGGTGTCAACAGCTGGAAGTAGTGATAACCACCGTGTACCAATATGACGTTTGATTTCGTGAAATTCGCCATCAACCATAGTAACAAATTTCTCGTCTCTAAATCATCTCGTCTACAAGCAGATACCGAAAAATGACTGTATATTTTTAAAACAATATTTTCTATGTCACAAATCAAGTAGCCCATAGCATGTTTTACTGTATTATGGATAATGTGTGCATGACAGTTGCCTTTTATTAGGTTTGGTACTTCTTTTTTAATATTTGTGTACAATCAGTGATGAATGCAAAAATTAGCATTGCAAGTGTCTGCACTGAGACCTGATACTTGATTGAATGACAGGTTACGGGAATCCATAGACTTCTTCATAGCTTCTAACATGCCATCAGCAGATTCATTAGAATTTTCGTAAAAATCGATCAGTTTATTTTGGATACCTTCATTATTGAAAAATATTGCACTACGAGAGGAAATAACCTAATATTATTTTTATTTTATGCATCTGTCTGGAGACAGAAAAATACATCATCATGTAAATCGTTTATTACACTTTCCACAGAATATGGACCTAACACTTCTGTCACTAAAGCTTCCATTTTAGTTCTTGCCAAGCGTATTTTACTAGCTATTTTGGAATCTACAAATACAATTTTGTTTAATTTATTTAGGCAATCCAGTATTATAAGATAAATTATGCTTCACAGTGTGAAAAGTTAATGCTAATTCCGCTGCTATAATATTCTCATCATCACTAGATGTTTGACATCTTGATTTAGTATCTGATGTAAGGAAATTTTGTAATGCACCAGATGTTTTCTTCATTTCAGTTTTCATCTTATGCTTCTGAGTATTTTGATGTTGCTTAATCTATAGAAAGAAAGAAACAAAAACTGAAACCACCACCATATTAAACCATCACCATTTTCAAAATAATACTGAATCATGAATTCTTCAAATATTCTTCAATTGAATGACAAATCTATTAATATAATTTTATCCAAAAACAATTATGTGAATGAGAATATAAACATTTCAGAATTCTGACAATTAGTATGAAAAATATTTTTTTTAATATTATTATAATAACAAGTAACAAGATTATTTTTAAAATAACTCATAGTCATACTCTTAGAAGAACTAACGGACCAGTTTTGTACACGTAGACATCTGTGACAAACGTCACAACTGACATCTGACATCTAATAGGTCCGCTGTCAGTGCCAATAATCCGTTCCGAATCAACCGTAAGCGCGCTGATACACTCGTTTATACAAGGTAACTGTGATGACAACGCTAACGCTGCCCATGGTCGCGGGCATAATCACTGTTGGCGCTGTTGGCGTGAATCGGAAAGATAGGTAACATTTCGTTCAGCAATTATAAATCGTTAAGTACCCATGATGAGTATGTTTTACGCATCACAGTAAAGGTTCAAAATAAAGTATTTTTGCATACTTTATTTGTATGTAAAAGTATAATTGTACTTTTACATACAAATAAAGTATGCAAAAATACTTTATTTTGAACCTTTACATCCAGTAGCTGGATGTGCTGTGGCTGAGGGATTTGAATTGGCACTTGCTTGCGACCTCCGTATCATTGTAGACACGGCTGTGGTAGAATGTCTGAGCTGCAGATATGACAAGTATTAGTATGTTACATTTTTATAATTATGAAATGACAAACCGAATAGTCCACCCAATAAGTGTTAACTAAAGCAAGTATCCACTACATCCATATTTAAACCAAGGCTACAAATGAAAATTTCAAACCGGAACAGAGTAGAAGAACTTCTATAAAATTTCAAACCGGAACAGAGTAGAAGAACTTCTATTTGTGCGGCAGAGGGTGGCAAGATGGTAGCACGGTAATATTATCTATAAGTATTACCGTGATGGTAGGTACTTCTAGGTGGAAGAGAAGTCTTACCACCTACAATACCTATTATTTTATAATAAATATTAAAAAACTTATGACGGTTCTACTTTAAAATCTAATATTATAATTTTTTACGAATCTTTATGACTGTTAGCAAAACTGCAAAGTGATGTGTGGGAACCAAAGATGTTTTATAGGTACAGATACCGTGTTGCTAACACATCGCACAGTTCACAGTGACGCCAGTCTTTGATTCATGTGTGCGTGAGTACCACGTGACGCGCATATCTTACGTACCATGCCTCATAAAGGTGTGGCGGAGCGCGGCGGTGGCCGTCCCGGACTCGGCCAGACCTTTCCGACTTAGCAAGAGTCGTTGTGTGAGCGCTGTACCTCGTGCGTACGAGTCAGTACTGTCACGTGCCAGGCACGCACACATATTAGCGGCGTTCAGTATATTTTTTAGAAGATAGCCTACTATTCTGTGTTTACTATGACTCCGGGCTGTTACTGGGAATTACTTAACAAAGAAACTAACTCCTGGTCTGACCCGAGATTTGAACTCGGAATCAAATAACCAGTAGTTGCGCTTAAGATCTTTAGGCAGTATATATCGCATTTATATACCGGTGAAAAGAAGACTTATGGTTGAGAGACGTATGCATATGTAAAATGGGGTGATATCAAAATTTCCACCCTTTTGGAGGTCCATGTACCTAGTGGCGGTGTAAAAATATTCACTAGCCCCTCCCCTCCTCCCCCCCGATCTCCTACCGCCACGGGGTGGCATAAGAGGCAACAGTCGGGAACTGAAACAGGAGACAGGCAGCAGTATGCAGTATGCTATTATATCTTAAAATAATAAAAAACAACCTATGGTATAATACGAGGGTGGATTGAAAAGTACTCGGCCTAACCAAGAAAATAAACATATACTAAATCAGTTATATTTTTATTTTTCTACATAATCACCATCAAGTTCAATACACTTTTGCCACCTCCCCTTCCAAGAATTTAGACCGTTGAAAAAAAAATCGAAAATCTTTGACCTCCCAAGTGCTTTTTTAGGTTAGGGAACAGAAACAAGTCTGATGGTGCCAGATCAGGTGAATACGGCGGATGCGGTAACAGTTCAAAGCCACAGTTGTGAATTTCAGCCATTGACTGTACTGACGTGTGAACACGGGCGTTATCTTGATGAAACAGGACTTTTCTTCTGAGCATTCCTCGACGTTTTTCTTTTATTTCCTCTCGTAAACGACGTAGTAAGGTGCAGAAGTAATCAGAGTTTATAGTCTGACCCCTTTCAAGATAATCAATCATAATCACACCTTTCGAGTCCCAGAAAACTGAAGCCATCACCTTATTTGCCGACAAAATCGACTTAGCCTTTTTTAGGGGTGGTGAACCAGGTCTTCTCCACTGTTTTGATTGTTGTTTTGTTTCCGGTGTACAGTAATGAACCCATGTTTCGTCCATAGTAACAAAACGATTCAAAAAATCATCTGCATCGGCTTCAAATAACTCCAAACAATCGCGTGAAATAGTCAATCGCGTCCTTTTTTGTTCAACTGAAAGCAGTCGCGGAACCCACCTCGCAGACACCTTGTGGAAACCCAACTCGTTGACAATGATGTTTTGAGTTCGTTCATAAGAGATGCCTATAATCTCGGCTATCTCTCTAATTTTTAATCTGCGGTCTCCCATTATTAAATCAAGTATGTACTTTTTTAATATTTTCGTCAGTAGTTGACGTCGAAGGCCTTCCAGAGCGGGGTTCATCTTTCACACTCTCTCTACCACGCTTAAATTCTGCTATCCATTTTTTGACGGATGAATATGACAGAGCACAATCGCCTAATGTACTGACCATGTCATCATGGATGGCTTTTGATGATAGCCCCTTCTTATGGAGGTACTTAATGACGGCACGCTGCTCGATTTGCTCCATTCGCGGAAATTATGTCCGATTACTTTGTTAATAAATTTATAAAATCACAACTAATTATCGCACACGTTTCGAACTTCACACAATGAACTAGCCTGAACTGAACTAAATAATGTGGGTAGATTTGATTTTTAGAATTGAATGGATCTGTGTTAGGCCGAGTACTTTTCAATCCACCCTCGTATATCTTTGGGGGAGGCCTATTGTCAGCATTATATTTTTAATTTTTATATGCCATTATGTATGAATAGAGGAGAGTTGCCTATGTCAAGCAGATGAGGATAAAAATGAAAGACTCTATAAAAAAATTCCCATGTTGCATATCTGTTTAATCTTATAATTGAGCAATAAATATTGGACATTATCACGCCTTTGCGGGTTTTTGACTCTTCGTTCTTGTACTGGTCCCATCCTTATGCGCCGAGCACAAAGCTAGCATTGAGTCTATAGTAAGTACCACGGCAGCAGCGATGGCACAGAGTGCTGTAATTTGAGCATATGTACGTCTATGACATGCTGGCACGTCGATCCAGGAGTGGAGTGTGAGCGCGCCACACACTCCAAACAACACGCCGCCTGCTCCCGACCACCACGCGTCCACGTAAGGATCTGCCGCCGCTGATACCACTTCACCTATGATATGAAAATACCTTTGTTATATTTATGCAAGCCTAGTACTAAATTTATATATATTAAAATATTTGGTAATAGAAAGAAACTAGTTTGACAAAATTTATCATTAACAATAGGATTGGATAGGAAATGGGATAGGATAGGTAGTACCTAATATCTGTACCTATAACATACAGTGAATAGACAATATCGTGTATAAAAAAGCAAGTATTCTTTTTTTAAATTCATAGTGAGTTGATAAAAATATTCAATTTTTTTATAATGATGAAACACCATTACTTTTTCTTTTTAGTATTAAAATTGGAGTATCCAATGAAAACCTCATTAACTATCTTTTATATTATAAAAAAATTGAATATTTTTATCAACTCACTATGAATTTTAAAAAAGAATACTTGTTTTTTCATACACGATATTGTCTATTCACTGTATGTCATAGGTACAGATATTAGGTACTATTCTCTCTCTCTATTCTCATTAACTATCTTTTATATTATAATTGTTGGTTCTGTTGATGATCATGTAACTGCTAAACGACTTGATCGATTACGGCCATATTTTAGATCCGATAGATAGCGCTGTAATCAAGTACTAACAAATTCTATATTCATGTATAGTTCATAAAATATAGCTTGATGCACTAATTAGGTCGGCATGCCCATAAAGTATAACATTGACAGGTACTGTCTGTACTACTAAGAAATTCAGGACTTCATAGGCGTGATTTTTACTGACAGCTGTCGCAGAGATCAAGCTATATTTTATGAACTATAACAGCCATATAAAATCACAAATACTGAACCAAGTAGATGGCGCTGTGTTAGAGCTATTAATACATTTTATATTTATACTGTAAAAAGTTCGGAGTGAAACCCATCGCAACACCTACGGAAAAGGCAGACCACCGTCAGCCGAACCAGTTAGTATTTTAATATATAAGCGCTTGGAAGTGGAAACATGGTGCATTAAGCTATAAGTATGAATAATATAATGCCAGTTATATTGAGGCGTAGTACACTCGTAACAAACACACATACAGGAAGTGGAATATTAAGTAAGGAATCCTCATGCATACAAATTAGAAAAGCAAAAGTAAAAGAAGCAGCTTTGATAAATTAAAATATTGTAGATGGGCAAAATTGACACTACCCTTAACCGACAACGAGAAGGTATGGGTAGATTATATGGATGTGAAAGAAGTAAGAGAGGTGTGTCAGATTCATGCCCATCGGAAATCCGCAGTATCTGCCTACTCTTATAAGTGACAGGTGTGATAGTTTATTTATATAATATGTACTTATGTATATTACATTCCTAATAATAAAAGAAAATTTTAAAATGACAATTGAGTCGCATTTATACCCTTAACTACTATTATACTTAAATTTATTTATATTCACCTATTATAAGCACATATATTTTTATACGTACCTATTTTATATACTAGCTTCTTCGTCAAATTCCTCCGAGTCCAAGTAAGCCAAGCTTAGATCGAATAGCATTACGAAAGCGTTGATAATAGCCAATGATCCGGCCACCAGAGCAGAGGTCTGATCTCCGGTTCTAGGATATACGGAATCACGAGTTCTTGCAGCTAGGACCAATGCACCACTAACTGTATATAGTCCAACTCCAAGTATACCGAAATACATGTCCTGTACTAGATCCAAAGGCGCGAATAGCATCTCCCCTAAAACGTATTCAGAACTAATTTAATTTCAAAAAAATACAAACAGAATTCAAAGTATTTAGGCGTGAGACTTATTCTGAAATCCTGGTAAATCATTTGCGAAGATTTAATTAAAGTATCCACGAAAAAGATCAAACCGTATCGTATGGTATTAGAAAGAACTGAATAGAAGATATGCTAGAAGACTCATAATATGCCCACCGATAGATGGCATCATTTTATACATACCATAGCTAAAATATCTAAACCGGATACGGAACGAAATATGACCAGTACTGAGTACTTTGAGGCACACGTTCAGCAAAAAAAAAAAAAACTACTATTGAATAATGGTAGAGTAAAATAAAAATAAAGTAATAAGTTATAAAATATCCCGTCGCTAGGTAGCATTTTCCACATTTCTCTAGTATGTGTTGACGGACTCCATTTTATGTTGAATTAAACTAATTTTTAGAGATTTTTATCTGATTTGCATGTATTCTTGCAGCCACAACTGTCGCTGTTGACTGTTGATGAGCAATATGTGAAAAATGCTAGGAATGTCAGAAAATTAAACTCGGTAAAAGCCGTCAAAAATAGGCCTCATATATTTCAAACTCTGCCAAGTATAAAAAATCTTATTGGATTCTTAATCAGAAACTTAAACAGGAGCCAGGATATTTCCTTTTTTAAATACATAAATTCTACAAGGAGAAGCATTCGTATCCGAAGTAATTTTTTGTAGGTGACACATTGCAGGCTTCGAACGAGATGATCGAGTCTTCAAAATTTTCTATTAACCTTTTTTATAGAATAAGTACGAAAAATAGGCACACAGTCCTCCTGATGGTAAGTAGAAGCTGCGTCCTATAGATATCTAAATTTTTCATCGATTAAGAATCTAAATTCAGATATGTTGTCACCCCTGAGGACTAAAATAGAATGCCTCGTTTCCAGCAAGGTCTTCGGTTCTCCACACTCACTATACGAAACACAGCAGCATTAAGCTGCTATTTTACGCTGGTATATAACCTTTTATATATATTTCGTATCTATAGGTATAAATGCGACTCATTTAATTTATACTGAACGCGTATAATATTAAAATTTGTTTAACACGCTTTAGAATAGTTTTTGCAAACTGTTACGCGTATGAAATTTTAACGTACGTCAAATAATAAAGTGTATGTCTAAAAACCTAGTATGATCTTAAGTTCTTTTTTTATTAAGTAATCAAACTTATGTTTTGGCCTTACATACATATTTATTCAAATTGACATATGTAATTATTTCTCACGATTAATTAAAATCAGTTTTATTCGAGTTAATAAATGTTTTAAAAATAATATTCCATGAGCTTCGATACAAGACTTCTTATCTGTCTGGCCTTAAACCAATCTGCTTGCTGTAGGGCTATTCAATCGCATTTTTTTTTCATTTGTAAAGAGCAAATTTCCGTCTTCAACTAGCGTATCGGCGTTTGGATCGATCTATTTTCTTTCGCTGCAGTGACAGATTTCGGGCATGTTCTGTGTATCGACGGTTCGACGGTGAACACCTAGTCTTGTGTCTCGTAAAATAATTGGCGGTAGAGTCCTAGGGAGAATCTACATAAATGCGATAATTCTTTGTATTGTTTCATTGAATTTTTGATAATATTCTCAGCCCATCTTGATCCTAACAGCATGAGGTCGTCCCTACCCCTTGTTGTCTTCAACAGAGGAATTGTTAGTGCATTTGCACTTCATACGACTAAACCTAAAATTTTAAGTCTATATAAATGTTTCACGTCTCGCTACCCACTTTGTGCAAAGCAATCGCTACACATTCTCAACCTTCTCAATAATATAATTTAACTAACGCGTTAAAGTATAATACTTGAAATGCTGACATATCGATCGAAGTTTAATACCAAATATACACGTTCTTCTTTTTTCATGAATTTTACAAATTAAAATTCATGAAAAAAGAAGAATAAAAAACCAGACAAAAACCAAAATGAAAGAAGTTTCAGAAATTAAAGATTTTATAATATTTAACACTGTTTTAATTTATGTAGTAAGTAATTCATTTAGTATTTATATCACTAAAATATAGGATTAGACGCAGAAACGAAATTTTTTTCCTGTTATCGGTAAACATATAATTATATAATATACATATGTGATAACTTCTCTGTGTCTTTACTGTAATATCAGCAAATAAATATGAATTGAAGTAAATGGAAGATTGGCGAAATAGATGTGCCGTTCGTAATTACACCATGGTTTTTTAAAGTGAAGAATAATAAGTAATCAAATTTTCTTAATGTTACGTTAAAATCAGGTTTTCCAAGCATATTGCGCATTCTAATGCAAGGCACGTAATTATAGTAACACAATTCTATAACCGCCTGTTTACTACATACTGATGAGGAATTAACGCATAATGTCATGCCTACATTAAACACGCGGAAGTTTCATCAATCAATCTACATCATCGGAAGATTGGAAGCCTATCTTTTTCACTTTGCGTATACATAATAACACATACTGACATATTTTTCCATCCAATAACCTTAAGTTAAGATATAAAAAAATAATGAAACGCTAAATAATAAAGTGTAGGTATTAAATGAACCAAATATGTTAAACTGCATAATTTCTGTACGTTGCGCTGTAACACGGTCGAACGGATAGGCTAAATAGAGGATAAATACAGGGTAGGATATAGGTTTGACAGATCGATAAACCAAAATATCTGGATATATTTTGAAAAAGTCGGCATTTTTCGGGAGTTGTTGTCGCGAGAAATGAAATGAAAATTAAAATAAAAAGTTAATTTTTTTAATTAAGAGACTACAAAAAGTACTACTAATAAAACAAATTTAAGTACCCTCAATATTTAGATTGCCACATGTATTTGGCATTGGACTTTACTAGAGTCCACCAGTTTGGATCATTTAGTAGTATTCAGAAAATATTTAAAATTCAAACAATTAACTTCAAAGTTCAGTCAAATAAATAACTCAGCTTTTATTAAATCAAAAGTCGATCATTAACTTTCCGAGGAGTTGCTTGTCTGGAGATTTTGAGTTTTATGGGGAGCCTGAAGATCATTTAAAATGTCGGGAGAATTCAGACGAATATAAACTGGCAACCCTCGTAAGATAGCGAGGCGACATCAATTAGATAAATTTTTGGTCTTAGTTTCTACTTTTATTTCTTTTTAGTCTTAGTTTATATCGTATATTTCTAAACAAATTGAATTTCATATCAGGTACAAATTCCTCATGAAAAGACAGAAATGCCTCTAAGTTTTTTGACTCGTACGTATTTCGTCGTATATTTTTTTTATAGTTAAATCGCGAAGTGACGCCGATTCGTTGGTGATCGTGGTCGGACTACGTTGTCATATTATTGTAAAAATATACCATAGGCTGCGCGTGTATTATAGATAGAGTATTTTTTCCAATTATGTCGGTAACTCTACTTCTGAATTTCGACATAAGCGTCATATAGTTATTTTTTGACATATAATATATTTGGTGACAAACGAGTACACAGTCCACATGATGTTAAATAGATGATGTGTGACATCTACATTTATCCTCGATTAAGAATCAAAAAGCAGATGCGTTGTAACTGAGGACTAAGTTGGAATGCCTCGTTTCCAGTAAAAAAGGTTCTCCGGACCTCTTTACTTACCATACGACAGCAGTTTTAAGCTGCTATTTTACGCTGATATTCTGTGAGAGCGTGTTCCTTTCCCGGCCGATCCATTCGTGCCACAACCATAATATAGCTGTAGCGAGGCTCTACCACGCATAAAGTATATAATATTACTATAGTTAGTTATAGCAGTTTAGTTCATAGGTAGTTAGTTTCAAAAACAGATAACATTCGGGAATCGAAGAAGTAAAATTTGGTGATCCAAAGGGGAATGAAAAACTATTTTACAGGTACATTGCAACTATTTCAGTATTAAAATATTTAAACGAATATACCTCTTGAGAGCTGTTGCTTAAAACACATTTCTATGTAAACATGTACAATTTTAAACACGAGTCTCACCGACAATTTCCCCGGAGAGTACGACGACGTATCCCACATAGGTGCCCGAGCAGAGCATTAGCGTCGGAATGTCTGTTAAATCGTAGCTGTAGTGGTGCAACGTTAGGCAGCCCACTGCTAGTATCTGTAACATTAAGTTAAAGCTAAGTTACAGCCTATTTAACCTCCCACTCCTGGGCACAGGCCTCCTCTCATTTCTGAGAGGGTTTTAGGGCAAGGAATTGTCCGCCGCATGCCCCAATGCGTGTTGGCGAACTTCACATGTCTTCGAAATATTTTTTTCTAATTTCTCAGACATTCAGGTTTCCTCACGATGTTTTCCTTCACCGCCGAGCACGTTGTAAATCAGCACTTAAAATTGCAATTAACAATTTCAGTGGTTCGCTCGTGTATTGTGAAAATTACAGCGAGCGCTAACCATCTGAGCTACCACGGCTTATCTGTAACATTATTGAAATTTATTCAGTATAAGTTATGCACGTAACTTTGCTCGCTAAGTCTCAGAGAATGTTTGTAAATAGAACAAAGATCTTTTAAAAACTACGATAAAGCAAACAGCGGTGGTAGCGACAATAATCTTATTTTAAAATGGGAATTGGCCCAGATGAAAGGTTATTTAAATTAATTTTGGAAATAGGATTTATCTCCTCCTCTCTTACACTGCTTCTACACGGTGACCAACGTCACCATTTTAATAATGTTGGAAATCATAGAATACTATAATACACAATAGAATGGCTGTCAACTTTATTTTGTACGAGGATTGGCGTCGCCAAACCCGATTCGCTGTGTTGACAGACTGAGTAAATTTAAACATTTTAGACTTTTGATTAATGTTCAAGATCATCATTAAAAAAATCTTTTAAATTTTAATACATATTTATTTGTAAATATGGTGCAATTTGGAATTCTCTAAATAATTTGCATGCGA